ATCTTTAGAATTAATATTTGCATTTAGGATTAGTTGTTATCATTACATTAATATTTACATTTAGGAGTAGTTGTTGGTTGTTTTAAACTTAAGATTTACATTTAGAAGTACTTGCTAGAAAACCACTTAAATCGACATTCCAAATTAAGTCCTGATAGTAGTAGACTAGAATTAGCCTAAGGAATTTCTTACTTCGCTTCATTGTGGGATCGATGTCTGGGTTTTTAAAGAAAGTCTTGTATTACTTGAAATGATACGTATACTTGCGTAGTACCCCTAGTGTGTAGATTATTTTTTAAATTATAACATTTTGATTTTGCACACTAGTTGCTAAATATAAATTAGGTAAAGTTTCTTGTCATCTTTTAGAAGCTAAATTACTGCATAATTGCAGGTCGGGTCATGTGCACATGGGATATTCTTCCAAACACATACTAAGCGTACTTCCACTCCATGCTTCTTGTAATGTCTTTCTCAATACAATTCTTATTGGAGATCAGTTTGAAAAGTTAACCACACATGCAAAAATTTTGGCCCAAAGTTCATTAGGCATTCTCTAACTCTTAAGCAAACTTCAAGCTATGTTAAGAATAGTTTGATTGTTTCTTTCGGTCACACTATTTATACAATCACCTCCTCAATCATATTGCATAGTTTTAATCTCGATGCCAATTTATTTCTCTACCAAAGCTTTCAACTTCTTGAAAACTCAAAAGACATAAAAAATTTTATTAAAAAAATATAACCAAATTTTTCTTAAAAGTCATCTATGAAGAGAAGAAAATAATCACTCTTACCAAGAGTGCTTGGCTTAATTGGAGTGCACACATCTAAATGGATGAGCTCACGTGGTTTTTGTACTTTTATTTTTTATTCTTTGAAAAAATCTTCCTAAATTGCTTCTCGAGCAAACAACCTTCACATATCTGGGTAAGGTGATTCTCACTATTTTTTTCTTTAGTAATAGCTCCAATCCTCTAAAATTAAGATATTTAAGCTAAAAATGCCAGAACCAAGATGAAGTTTTATAACAAACCTTTGGACACATGAAAATATCATTTTAAAATTTGAGCAAGAACATTCTATTTCTTGAATTTGATATCTTCATAAATAAGTTACTTATATATTCTCTAATGAAAAGGTTTTTTTTTCTTTCAAATCAATTTCATAATCTTTTTCTAAGAGCTGACCAAAACTTAGGATATTACTCTTCATATTTGACACATAATAAACATTTGAAATAAAATGGTGACTCTTACCTTCAATATGATAATGATATTACCATTGCCTTTTTTCTGTTGCCTTGGTCTCAACTTCAAAGGATATATTACCACTCAATAACTCATCAAGCTCTGTGAAGTGATTTTCTCCCACGTATATGGTTGCTTGTACTAGTGCCCAAATACCAAATATTTTACTCACTCTTTTTGTTCTTCTTAATTCCAATAGAAAAGTATCTATCACCTAGATGAATTCTTTGTTTTACATAAGTAGCATTCTCTTCAACTCTATTGTTATTAACATTCTGCAACACAGTGACTAAAATTTTAGCAATTATAACATATCACTTAGGACTTATCATACTTTAAACTTGATTTTTCTCTTCCACACCCACTTGTTGATCTACCACCTCATCCAAAATTGATATTGTTGTTATTGTCATTGTTGGAACTCCAATCTTATCTGCGTCTATTATCATGTCATTTCTTCGATCACAACCTCTTATTTGTTGACTTTTATCATACTTAAGGATCTTTTCCTTAGTTGAATTAAATACAACTTCAAGGGTTGTCCTATGATCACTTGCTTCTTCTTTTTTTATTCTTCATAGGCTTGTATGGAAGTCAGGGGCCACTCGATTGTCATAGTCGCAAAGTCTTTGATTTCTTCAATCAATGATAATATGATAGAACTTTTGAACTAAAGATCGAAGTATCTTATTCAATAATTTTGAATCTTCAAGCTCCTCCATGTTTCTCTTCAGTTGATTAGAAATTGCTAAGACTCTAATAAAGTAGTCGGAGAAGACTTCCACTTCTTTTATATGTAAAGCTTTGAACTCACCTCTTAGGCTCTGTTTGGCGCAGCTGCAGCTTCCCAGCTTTTTAGCTGCAGCTGCGCTGCCCCAGGAAGCTGCTGCGGGGAAACTGATTGTCTGTTTGGTGCAACTGTGTGAAAACAGCTGTGGGGTAGCTATTTCTGGAGAAATGACCATGCTGCCTCTGTTTGTTAAAACTGTTTAAAAGAAGACTGTAACAGTGTCATTTTTTAAACTTCTGAAGCAGAAATTCATTTCTAAACATAACAGAAAGTTCATATATCATCACTTCTAAAAGAAGATTTTTTTTTTAAGTTTAATAATTTAAACAACAAGTATTTTAACATTCTACGGGAACTATGATGATGATGCGCATCTATCAACTATATTTAACAGAACATATAAAGAGGTATAAAGTTGCCCTTTAACTCAACTCATCCAAGCTCCTCCCTCAAATATATTTAGAGAAATTTACATACATACCACAAAATTTTTATGTTTCATAAAAAAAAAACATAGCAAAAGTAATAAAGACAGTCAAAACAAACTTTCTTTACATAACATCACAGATAAAATAATCAAAATTCAGTAGAATATAAAATATTGTTTGGTTGCCCAAAACTGTGACAAATCAAGAACAAGGCTCGATTGATTTTAAAGTGAATCACACCCTCCATCCAATACAGACCATTGCTACATGTGGGTCAAATAAAACAAAGCAGCAGACAACAGACATTTTAGGGATACAAATAAATTGATTTTAACATAACAATTTTCTTTCCAGAAATTTCTCAAGAGATTCGAACGAGCACCACAAAATATTCACAACATCAAGCCAAGAAATTCTTTTGATGAAGAACAATCAAGTGATCCCAACAATGGCATACTCGAAAATTTTAAAATAAAAAGACGAACCTTGTCAGATCGCTTGAGATGGGCATCGTATGCCTTTACAAACTCGTGAGGTGACACATCCTTCACTGTCCTTCCATCCTTAAGCCCCTCCATTGCCTTCCTTGCCGCCTCTAATGTTCCAATCACTCGCAGAGAGATGTAGCTAGGGTCCTTGCCGCCTCCATCGAAGCCGCTACAAAAGCCGACACCGCCGTTAGAGCGGATTTTCTGTCGCGTAGGAGAGGAAAGGAGAGGGGAGAAGATCGCGGCTTCCTCTTCTTTCGTGGGATCTACTGTCGTGGAAGGGGCACAGGGGTAAAAAGCCGATCGACGAAGCTGGGCCGCACATAAGAGGTAGTTGTCCGCGTTGGCACCAAATCGCGGGACGCCGCGGGGGCACCGCCGCCCCAAACGGGGGAAAGTAGCGGCACAGAGCCGCGCCGCATGTCCCCCGCCGCCCCAAACACACCCTTAATGTTTGGAGATGCACCTTCTTGACTTGTTCCACTCCTTTATAAGAGGTCTGAAGCTTCTCCCTTGTACCCTTGGCATACTTTGCATCAAAAAGCTTCTTTGATGCGTCATCATCTATTCCTTGATAGATTAGATAGAGATCCCTCTTGTCCCTCTTCCTCAAATCTCTTAGAATGTCCATTTGAGTTTGTGATAGAATTAACTCATTTTGTTGCTCATTGTAGCTTTTCTCTAACATCTCTTATACATCTTGCACTCCAAAAAGAGCTTTCATCTTGTTGCTTCAATTTTCATAATTATTGTTATTGAGGATTGAGACTTGAAAGAGAATCATAATGTTTCCCTCCATCTCTCTAGAAAGAACCTTGTCTCTGATACCACTTTATTGAAAAAAAATATATATTATAATAGGAGTAATGCTAAAAAAGAAGTGAAACATGACTTGAAAGAGTCATTTTATTTCACTTTATTTTCTTTTTCTTGATACAAACTCAAACACTACACCAATGTAAACTAGTTTGATCCTATGATTACTATTGACTCTCTAGAATATTCTTCTGCTTAAGTCATTAATTATATATTCAAAAATTTTAAAATACTCTTTTAAAACATTTCTCCATAATATTTTAAAATTTTCTTTTAGAAAGAGTCTCTAGAATTTCCCAAAGATCATTCTAGATTATGGGCTCAATTACAACCCAATTTTATACAACAACAACAACAACAAAACCTTAATCCCACTACGTGGGGTCGGCTACATGAATCCTTCTTCTCCATTGCATCCTGTTTAGAGACATATTTCATTTAGTTCTAGTAAAGTAAGATCATTTTTTATACAATAAGCCCAAGTCCAATAAGCCCAAGTACAATAAGCCCAAGTCTTCCTAGGTCTACCTCTGCCTTTCTTAACACAAGTCGAATCTAAAACATCTACTCTCCTAATCGGATCATTAGATGGTCGACGTTTAATATGACCAAACCATCTAAGACGACTTTCTCTAATTTTGTCCGTCACAGGAGCTACACCAACCCTATCACGGATATATTCATTTCACATTTTGTCTCTAAGTGTAAACCCAATTTTATATTAACCAAAATAAAGTTGAATTTTGAACAATAGATATAGCTGAAATTTACAAAAACTTTTTTATTACAGAACTTCTATAATAGAAAACAGGTAAGAAAGAAAGGAAAGCAATAGGAAGAAAAAACAGGTTCACTTAGTATCATAACCGTACAGAAAGTAATATAAGTGATAAGAAAAATGGGCATATGGAGTAATGATTAGTACTGTTTGTAGTTAAGGTTATTACTAATCAAACTCTCCTTGCCAGCCGTTTGCAAGGTATATTTACATACTTAAAATAATGCATAGTGAATGTTATATTAAAAGATCTAATTTTCAAAATTTCTTTTAAGTTGCAGCCTCTACCTAAACTCCTCCATGCCTCCTAGATAAAATCAAAAGAATCCCATTCTTATTACTGTTAAGCTTTGTGATATTATGATAAAATAGCCAAATTTCATATGCTAACACATCAAAATTAACAATAAAGAATAAATAAAATAGTAGAGAGGGGGGCAGTAAAATTACTTGCATGCTCCGACGCCCATGCGACTGGGAGCTTGGGGCTTACAAAGAGAGGGAAAGCCAAGAGGCAAAAACTGAAAGAGGAAAAGTGCGAACCTTTTTGGTTTGTGAAGACGCCTGAGAGATTTCCAATTTTGCAAATGAGCAGCCAAGCCCGAAAGCGGAAGTGCGAACTCGAAATGAGAGTTATAGTAGGAAGAGTCTAAACAATCCTTCCACGATTGTAGGGCAATTGCAGCTGCTAGTAGTTACAACCAATCGAAAAGTAAGGATTTTTTTTCATTCTATATATAAATACTCTTTCTATTCTTCGTTATCAACTTGAAAAATTCAAATATCACGATATCCTTTATTGTGAGACAAAGTTAAGGTTTTGCATGATTTTTCGATGTTGGTTTCATGAAATATTATTCTATATGCAGGCGGAATTGCTACTTCCTAGTGATATATACTAAATCTAATGAACCTAGAAGGGCTGATAATCTGCAGGTTAGTCTTTGCTGTCTTAAATAATTTTTATTATTCCACATCTCTGTGTGAATCTCGAGACAATCTTACGGTCCAAATTAAAAGAGAAATTGAGGATCATCCTTCTAGCGAAATGCCACAAGCTAGTACTCGTGAGGACGGTCGGCTGAAGACCGCTGACCGAACAATGGCCAGCCAATCGAAGGTCCCGTAACTAATTAGAGGACTGTTGATCGACTAAAGGCCAATCTGACAACCAAAATGCCATACGGGCTGACTAGAAACGACCATCCATACCAATGATTGGATAAAGGTCTAGTACCTATAGTAATCTCACAAGTATCAACATGAGGATCTATCAATAACTACCCAAAAATCTCCAATGATTACCAAGAATGAAGCAAGTCGACCGGCCACCTTAAGGCTGATAAACTATCACTCTTAAAGCTGACCAACTTCCAAGAGTGAAGGTCGACCGACATCTAGACAAAACAACCGACCTATACCAGCTCGGTCGATTGACTCGAGGATCTGCCGACGAGAAGGTCCAGACACACAAAAAGATGCTGAAATCACTTACAAATCGAAAAAAGGCATGATGAAAGACAATAAACTTGTGTAACGCCTCTATTAAAGCAAGGTTAGACATGTAATTTTTTACTTTTTGTACCTCTATCTTCTATAAATAAGGGGTCCGTAGCATGTCTTAGGGGTCTTTTTGTCCTATCTTGGTTATGGCCTCTTTAGGCTCTTCTCTCTAGATCCACTCTTGTAGAGATCTCTCTCTCCCTCTCTCTCTTGTAATCCCCATTTTCAAATGGGTCACAGAGCCCAAGAATACCCCAGTTCGCCCATACAGGGCAAGTTTGTGTGTGATCTTTTATTCTTTCTTCTTCTCTATCTCTCGCTCTACTTCTCTCTTCTCTAGTTTCTACCGCTCCAATCCATGGGCATGTCTTATAGAGTAAATCTGCATTCAATGGCCTAAAAGGTGAGCGTTGAGCATGCTATCAACAAGAAGTTAAGTGACACCAACATGAAGAAATACATACCAGAGACTCTTAATAGGGAGCACACTAAGGAGTTTATGTAGCAATATATCTGGAGTTAAAAACACCATGCAATAGAAGATGAAATGTCGCATGAGAATTTTTAGGGAAAACATCACAGCAACACAAAAAATAGAGACAAAAAAAATTTTTTTATTTTAATAATAATTTAATTATACGCAAATTTTAATCAGACAACAAATATTTTACAAAATTATCCTCAATAACCTTTAGTAGGACCAAACCCTTCCAAACCAGCCTCCTATATAACATTTGACCGTCTATCTTAAACTTATTCCCTCGATCATTCTCAGAATGAGCTCTCTATGCAAAAACATATTCCTAGAGTTCGATCATTTCTGGCGAAGAGCAGCTGCCTAATCTTGCATTTCGTCCAGACCATGCATAGCTCCTCTTATCACTCAACCGAAGCCACTTCCATCTCATTAGGTGTTGGGTCAGAGTTCTCAGAGACATCCGACAACTGTCCACCACTTCATCATAGATCATAACATGATCAGACGAACAATTGACCATGTTCATCTCACTGCAGACCCACGCTTAGAGCATAGAAGCAACCAATGCAGCTGGGTCTTAATAATTCCCAATAATTGGCCAAATTCGAGCATTTTTTCCTACAAGTAACAAAAAGATGAAATGTATTGCAATAGTAATGAACACACGTACTCAAGATCCGATCCATGTTGAACCAGTTAGCTTCAACTACTTCCAACAAGGAAAGATCATCAGTCCTCTTTTATTTCTGATTGGTTGATCATCCCCAATAATTCTTGGTACAAGAATTGGTTGAGGAGATGTCATAGTCTTAAGCCAATCCGAAACCTAAACCTAGACCTTGGTCGATGGGCCAACAGTCAAACTACCTAGCTCATTTCAATGCTAGGTTGAACTTTCTCTGAAGTCTCTCAGATCGAATCTGATGACTCCTTTTGTTTCACTCGATTAGATGGCTTCAACTTCTTAACAACCTTTCTTCTCCCTCTTTTTTTCATCAAATTACCTTTCGATCTGCACTTTACTCCAAGGGCGAGAAACATCTTTGTCCAATCGACAATTTTAATTTTTGACTCAGACCCTTTCTCCAAAAGGAAGGCCTAGTAGTCGAGTAGATGCAAGGAGGAACATAATTGAAATATTGAGAACCATTTACGATGTACTATATATAAGGGCCATGGGCATAGAAAACGAGTGAGTTTAATCATTATATTAAATTATGATTATTAAGATTATATTTATTACATTAAAAATATTATAGGGCTTATCATAACTATTGCTATCAAGGAGTAAGAAAATGGAGAACTTAATATGTACACCTTAAAATGATATGTACAAATCTCAAGATAATCTAACAATATATATTAAAAGAAAAATCTAGGATCATCCTTCTGTTGAAAAGTTATAAGTACTCATAGAGATTATCAAATGTCTAATGGTCAGTCAACCAAAGGGCTAGTGACCGATCGAAGGACAACCAATCAACAAAAAGCCAGTCTGACAACCAAATGGCCATTTAGGCTGACCGGAACTGGACATCCATGCCAATGAATGGATAAAGGTGTAGTAACCCCAAAAAGTCTCACAGGTATCAACATGAGATTCTCTCAATAACTACCCTTAAAATCTCTAAATATTATCGAGGAAAAAACAAGCTGATCCGCCACCCTAAGGCCAACCGACATCCCAGAGTGAAGACTGAATGACAAGAAGCAAAACAGCTGACCAACTCCTGCTCATTCAATCAACTCAAAGACCTACCAAGTAGAAGGTCCAAACACATAAAAGAGATGTCAAAATTAGTCACAAATATAAAAAGGCACGATGAAATACAATAATATTATGTAATTTCCCTAATATACCTTTTGGCTCTCAGTCATTTATAAATAAGGGGTCCATAACATGGGATAATGTTTCTTTGGCCTCTCTAAACTTTGGCCTTTAAGATCTTCTCTCTAAACTCACTCTTACAAAGAGATCTCTCTCCCCTTCTCTTTCTTGCAATCATTATTTTCCACATATAAAATGGGTCAAAGAGCCTCGTAATACCCCAATTTGCCCCTACGGGGCAAGTCTATTGTTGACCTCACTTTTGGTCAACCTTTCATTAACACTAAAAAAAATTAAATCCATTTCAACTCCAAAGATCTGTTCATTTGTGCTTTCATTAAGAACTTCAATTTACATGGGCTTGAACCCAAACATTAACGTTTCCTTTGAAATCCTAGAGTTTTTCTCTACTAAGGTTAGCAAGTGTTATCCTTAAGTTAGCATCTAGTGCCTGTACGCCTTGCATACTCATGAGCACCCACATGAGCATTAGCTCGTCCACACACGTGAGTACATTCCCAAGCAAATGTACACACACTCTCACAAAGGCCTGAGATCCTACACATGCACCGATGTGCCACACGTGCCCTTAGTCTGGTGTGACCATGATTATCCAAGTGTGGCCATGCAAAAAAGTTCTTATGTGTAGTCACACCTGGTTTGTGCATGGCCAAATCAGAATGTTACTAGGTCATGCCCCCACATGTACCACACTTGTGATCTATAGCTTATTTCTTCAAATTTACAGTGAATCGATGCATCATTTTACTACAAATGATTTGTGGGAGCTCCAACCGCTAGAAAAATCGTGATCGTTGATCTTTGCTTCAATCAACAGTCATTATGATTGATCCAAGGGTGGAAACTACTCTTGTCCCCACCTCTATCTCTCCAAACAACCTTAAATAGGCCCCTGCTTTTACCTTCAAAAGAGACAGAGCATCTTATCCTTATGTCTCTTTCCTCTCCTTCCCCGATGATCTTCTGCAGTTCTCTCATGGTGATCAGTCCTCTTCTCTGATAATTCCTCTTTATTCACTTTTTATGTTACTTTGTTTATTTTCTTAAGTTTAAGAAAATCCAATTAAATTATTTTGCATTAGACTTGGGTTTAGGTTTGAGTTAGGTTGACCCGAACTTAGCTTGACCCAACCAAGCTTAACCTGACTTGACTCAACCTAAACCAACCCAGCTTAATCTGACCTAAACTGACCTGAACTGACCTGACACAACCCAGCTTAACCAAACCTAACTTGACCTAACTAAACCCAACATGATGTGAACTGACCTTACCCAACCTAGCTTAACTCAACCTGACCCAACTTAGCTTGTCCCAACCTAACTTAACCCAACTTAATGCAACCAAACTCAACTGAGCTTAACCTAAATCAAACCCACATTGAACCAATCCAAACCTAATAACCCTATCTAACTTGATTTGAGCTAATATTAGCTAACCTTAGCTGAATCTAGCTAAGCTTAATTATTAACCTTAGCTCATCCCCATCCCAAGTGTAATCCAAACTGAATTCAAGTCATTTTTTATGTGCAGTGATTCATGTCAATCACATGTAGTCAGTCGTATGTAGTAACTCTTGCATAATGTTACATGCATATAAATTCATGTTCCATGTTTTCAAATATCATGTTTAGTTCTTTTCACTTAAAAAATAAAAAATAGATAAAAGATAAGGGAGGAGGGGAACCTTGCATATGCTGTGTCTTCCC